ATTGGGCCTGTAGCATGCTGGGATGAAGGACTACCATGTTAGTTCAAATGAATGACCTTGATCCACTTTCAACCTAATGTCCTTGTTCGACAATCAAGGTCAGAGGCGTCATATGTTTAAATCTTTTAATAGGTTCTTATGAAATCTTAAGATTACAAGTGTTAGATTAATAACAGGTGAGCGATGCAGGCCCATTGGGCCTCTTGTTAATTTAAATGTTATTTAGAATATCTCAAAAAGATATAAGAATGGGGTGGTCGTGTGGCGCAGTAGATAACGCCCTCGCCTCTCACCAAGACGGCCAGCATTTGATTCCCCGATCCAACGTTACGAGGTATTGGGTCTACATCCTTACCACGTGGGTTTTATCAGGGTACTCTGGTTTCCTCCCTCATTAAGACCCCCTGCACACTAACATCCGGGCCAACAAGAGTGATTCGTATAAGTTGAAATAACTTGTTTTAAAACTGTTGTGAAAAACAAAAAGTTGGTAGTTTTTATAAGGAATGAAAGGTGTATTTTTCTTGGTCACACCAGTAGTAAATGTGGTGCAAGCAGATAAATTCCCTGTAATGTGGTGGCACTGACTAAAGATAGGTTAATAACCATCTCCACATCATACTGGGATGGCAATGTGTAATAGTTCATCATTTGTCTTTAATTCCTGGATTGTGTTTTCTTCTGAAATGTATTGAAGGAAGTCGGCTACAGTTTAATAGAAATTGATTGACCATGATTGTGATTTCAGGCGATGAAATCCAAAGAGGATGAAATAACAAGCCTTCAGCAGAAACTGGTAAGGAAAGCGCTGTTTAGTATACACTGGGTCATTGGTGGGTGGTGGGTTGTACCATTGGAAAGTACACAGTGGGTATTGGGTGTGCGTATGAGGGCGAGGGTAACACTACCCTGTACATAGAGCATTGAGTGGGTGGAGGATGGTTAGGGCGATAGATAGTATCCAAGCACTTGACACTTTACAGTGGGTATTGGGTGGGTGATGGATGGTATCGAAGCACTCTACACTTTACAGTGGGCATTGAGTGGGTGGAGGATGGTATCGAAGCACTCTACACTTTACAGTGGGTGATGGATGGTAAGGGCGATGGAAGGTATCGAAGCACTCTACACTTTACAGTGGGTATTGGGTGGGTGGAGGATGGTATCGAAGCACTCTACACTTTACAGGGGGTATTGGGTGGGTGAAGGATGGTATCGAAGCACTCTACACTTTACAGTGGGGATTTGGTGGGTGGAGGATGGTATCGAAGCACTACACTTTACAGTGGGCATTGAGTGGGTGGAGGATGGTATCGAAGCACTACACTTTATTTACAGTGGGGATTTGGTGGGTGGTTGATGGTATCAAAGCACTGTATAGTGGGTATTTGGAGGACAAAAATAATTGTTTATAGAAGAACTCTTGGCACTGGATAAATACTTCTGCTTAGTTATCAACTCATATTTCACAAATAAACACAACAAATAATTAAATGTGTACATGTTTATGTTTCGAAATGTTCAAAATAAATAATTACAAAGTAATAGTAAATTGATGTCCTTTCTTCTTTCAGTCGGAGTTTTCCATGACTGCAAGTACAAGATCTGTTGTTCAAGATAAAGTCTCTATAACTAGGCAAGTGTGTTTTATTATACAACATTTATATCATCTCACTGATAAAGATGAGAAAAATGAAAAAGATTGCCATGCTATCAGATATTTCTATTTTGTGATGAATTATTTAAATTCATTTTAAACTGATTTTTTTCTAAACGGGGATCCTTTAGTTTAATCAAAAGAACATTATTGCAGATATCTGAAGAAAATCCTTCAAGTTCTCTGGTCTTCATTGTGTATCAGTATTTATGTAGTTTCATTTTGCAGTTTATACATTGATGGTTTTTGACTGTTCACCGTTTGTGTTACAGCTGTACTGTTGGAGACCTGGTCCTGTTCTGTCTGGACGAGCGACATGACCAGTATGTCGTGTTCACCATAGGGACCACTCTCCACTTCCTCCACACAGACTGTCTAGATAATCTCGGACTTCGTACAAGTAAGCACAGCTTTTTACTTACGCTGTCACATAAGCCTGTTATTATGTTATTACACCTGTCGACATGTAGTTAAATAAGGGGGATAATCTAAAATGACAATACTCAGCCATCGGTCACTCTGTAGAGACAAGCTTTTCAAGACTACTTCTCCTGAAATACTGCATAGATTTTAATGAAACTTTGTACAATTTATCAGTTTGCAAGGTAGTTGCAAAGTATGCATATTATTTTCATTTTGACGATTTTTGCAGAGTTATCCCCCGTTTTATAGCATGTTTATGGCATTGTAAACAGCGAGTCCCTCATGAACCTTTCATTTTCTATGAAACCTCGTAATGTTTATAAAATCATTTGTAGTTTTTACATGTCAGGTGGAGATACTGTTTCTATGGTACTTTTTCAAGGAGGGCATACAAACTAGGATATATATGAATTAGTGGGTTTTAGTTTTTGTCTTGCACTTTAATTTGTATTTGTAATAAAAAAAAATGTAAAGAGATTTTGTCAAAGATTTTGGAGTTATACTAAGTATTTTAATGATAAATAGGATATGGTATCAGGTATACAATCATATAATCAAGTGAGCTGATTCCTCCTTGGAAACATTTGTTGTACCAAATATACAGAATATGATAGATATAAATCACCCTGTTAGTACTTTGGATTTGGTGTAAGAGGTACATGTATTAACAGTCTGAGATTTTACTTCCATCTTTTATCGTTAATTTAGTTCTGGCTTTTAGTAATACCGTTAGTACTTTTATTGGAAATTTTGTAATTAGAAAAAAGAGGAAACTTCTGCTTTTTCAATTGATCAGAAGATTTAGATTTTCAGCAAACTGCTAGAGTATGGTGAGATTCACATATTTTATTGAAAACACCTATGGATTTACATGTTTAGATTTAACGAATTTAATTATGAAATCCATTTCTTAGGATGCCTGGAGATAACTTTGTGTCAGATTTTAAGGATTACTCCTTTTTTTTTCTTCTTCAATGAAACAATGTTATAATTGTGTGTATAAGGTATTGAATTAGATACATAAGTGATCAATTCTGTTATCTTTTTTCTGAAGTCTATATAAAACCATGTATATTTTCAGACCCCGGTGAAACAAGGAAGTCGTGGGTTCTTGCTGAAATAACAGAAAAAGAATACTGCCAAGCCAAAAAGGTTGAAATGGATTTTAAATTATATTTTGTATCACAAAAAAAGCAAGTGAAATTTAATTTTGTTCTTGAAGTGAAATAAAGGAACTATTTTCATAAAAGTCATACAAATAATGCATAAAAATGATGCATAATGCTGGAGCCGTGAATAGGAATATATATTAATTGGAAGTGTGTAGCTTCATGTATATATGTAGTACATTTTACACTTTAGCATTAATGTTAAATAACAAATATCATGTACTCTGTTAATTTCTGTATCATAATATCTAACAAAATATTGTAACATTTTAAGGAGAACGATATATTGATGTTTAACCAAGTTTTTATCTTGCTGCTGACCTTTTTGGTTTCGGCCCCAAATGACTCGCATTGTCGATGGGCCTTGTAACAATACAAAAACAAACCTTTTCATTTCAGCCCATGAACCGGTTTAAAGTGCCGGTAGGGACCAAGTTCTACAGGGTGAAGGCCAAACAATGGACCAGGGAAGGACCACAGACAGGAGCAGTAGGTGGGGCCTCCAACCCTGCTATCAAACCCTCATCTTAACACCATCGACAGTGTGTAGTACTTGAAACCCGAGTCTACCTTCCTTCTGACATGAGTGGGAAGTGGCTGAAATCTTAACTGTTGACTTTTAATGATGTTGGAAGTGAAAGAGGTCATGAAATTGCATTAAGCCTAATTTCTCATCATTCTCTTGACACTTTATGGAATGGATGAGGATCAGACGCTCTCCTAATTATACAAAGTGGATGTAGCTAGGGCTTTTCTTAACATCACAGGAAGTTAACGAGACCCAGCCATTTCCTAACATAATGTTAAGTGGGCAAGGCCCAGTCCCCCTAACCGCAGAAAGTGGATAAAGACTAGCCCTCTTACCTAACATCACAGGAAGTGGGTGAGGCTCAGCTTCTCAAAACACCACAGGAAGTGGGTGAGGTCAAACACCTCTCCTTCCACCACAGGAAGTGGATGAGGCCCAGCTTCTCCAAACACCACAGGAAGTGGGTGAGGCTCAGCTTCTCCAAACATCACAGGAAGTGGGTGAGGTCAAACACCTCTTCCACCAAAGGAAGTGGGTGAGGCTCAGCTTCTCCTTCCACCACAGGAAGTGGGTGAGGCTCAGCTTCTCCAAACACCACAGGAAGTGGGTGAGGCTCAGCTTCTCAAAACACCACAGGAAGCGGGTGAGGTCAAACACCTCTCCTTCCACCACAGGAAGTGGGTGAGGCCCAGCTTCTCCAAACACACCAGGAGCGGGGGAGGTCAAACATCTCTCCTACCACCGCAGGAAGTGGGTGAGACCCAGCTTCTCTAAACACCACAGGAAGCGGGGGAGATCAAACACCTCTCCTTCCACCACAGGAAGTGGGTGAGGCCCAGCCTCTCCAAACACCACAGGAAGTGGATGAGGCCAAACACTTCTCCTACCACCACAGGAAATTGTTTAGGCCCGACCCTCTCCTAACACCACAGCAGTCCTACTCCGGTAACTTTTGAAATAAATATGTGGAGTCCTCTACTCTTCTGCCTCCTGCCTATCATTACAGAATGCTTCATGTGTCACTCTCTGTGGGGCATCCTTGCTATGTCTCTCATACACGGCTGGGGATTATATACAAGTACAATAATGGCTTACGTAACCAGAGCAGCACTTGAGCCTTCACTTTTAAATATTTTTTTTGTAAAATTTTAAATGAGATGTAAAACTTGTTGTGTTCTTGGATACACTGTAAATGTACTTATTTAACTGAATGCAGTTGGCTGTGTTGGTGGACTTCTGAAATCCATAGCAATGAAAAGCTCACGACAATGTCCATAGGACAATTACTATGTTTACAGTGTTACCAATGTGATGGAGATTAGGAATGTAAGAGTTTATTGTGTAGATTGTGTTTTGAGTGTAATTTACGTGCACTTGCACCATTAACCCTTTCACCCCTAGGTAACTTAAGTAGACTCTACCATACATTGATCTGGATGAGTCCATTATGGTCTACAGTGGTGAAAGGGTTAATCCATCTTATGTATGTTTTATTAGTAGTAATTCTCATCCTTCCTTTGATATATGACTGGGTATTCCATAGCTGCCTTAATTATGTGACAGTTTCTTTTATATGATGTGATCATTTCTCTATACATGGTCTTAATATTTTGTTTTTATTTTATGTGATATTTTCAGTACTTACTATGGTTATATCATTATAAAACTTATATGGTTGTCCCTTCATTATATATATCCTCTATTTATTCTACAACAATTATGAAACAAGTTATTTCAACTTTAATAATCACTCTTGTTGGCCCAGATGTAAGCACACGGGGGGGTCTTAATGTGGGAGGAAACCAGAGTACCCAGAGAAAACCCACATGGTCAGACAGGTGACGCTGTACCTTATCATGACCAATGGGGATTCGAACCCCGACCACCTTGGTGAAAGTCAAGTGCGTTATCCCCTGCACCACCCGTCCACCCTTCATTACCACACGGTTGGTTGGTTGGTTGGTTGGTTCACGGGTTTATCGCCTACATGACTCCATCCATGCGGGTTTCGTCTCACTGACGGAGGTCGGTGTTCTGTCGGCGTGAATAGTGGTCAGTTTGAAATCACTGCCTTATATAGACAGACCACCTTATGTAATGATATAACCTCCTGATATAATGAAACTACCACCACAATTAATAAAAATAGGTAATGAAATAACCTGACACATATTGACAGGGTCACATAATATAATTAACTGACCACCTTGTCAAACAGAAATGATCATCTTATATAACAGAATTGGCCACGTAAGGCAGCTATGGCGTTCCATAAGTGAGAGTTTGTAATAAAACAACTGAAGCTTTTACAGTCAGATTGAGTAATGCAAGATAAATAAGATTTTACTGTTTTCTCATTGCTTCTGATACTTGTAATGTCAAATATCTCGGAAAGAACAATTCTGAGATTTTGCGTATGATGTGAGAAGTAAAATTCATTTATCATGTAGATGAATATTCTTAGCTTCAAGTGACAGAGGACAATCTCCTAAATCAAGATAAAAAACCCCAACTTTGTAATTTGTAATATATGCTTAAACAGTCTATGAATGTCAATTTAAACATGTGCTGCAAAAGTTTGTAATTTTCTGAAAAAAGACTTGAAGCAGTTTTTTCCAGTTTGTTTCAAACTTTTATAGTGATTGTTTGAAGCGCAATATAGGTTTTTATGTAACTTATTAATAAAGATTGCTGAGCCAGCTGTGATCTCTGTTATTGTACGTACAGCACATATACACATCAGTATTGAGTGAGCCTGATCCTTCTTGTATTCTATTTATACATTGTCTTTGTGCTACCAGCATAGTACCGTAATTACTAATACACAAATAACTTTAATGTGAATGGTTGATCTGGTTACATCCAGGATCTGTTTGCACAAAGTTTGATTATAGCTAACCAGTGGTTAGGAAAAATACAAATAACCATTAAGAAAATTCAAATATACATCAAGAAAATTCAAATTCAAATATACGTCAAGAAAATTCAAATATACATCAAGAAAATTCAAATTCACATCAAGAAAATTCAAATTCAAATATACATCTAGAAAATTCAAATATACATAAAAAAAAATCAAATATACATAAAGAAAATTCAAATTCAAATATTCATCAAGAAAATTCAAAATATCATTTCAAGGCTACAGAATGTTGAGGCAGATCAGATTGATGTGTTGTGAGGATTAATTTTGCTTCAAAAGCCCTTGTGGCAAATATTTGAATCTTTCACTTACCACTGTTTAAAGTTAACCAACCTTTGAGCGAAGGGGGGCCTGGTGTCAGTGCCGAGTGGTGCTAGCTTTGTTAAAGACTGTTCGACTGCTGGGATAGATCATGTGATAATCCAGTATAAATATCCTGGCATCGGGCTAGAGCACTTACAGATTGGAAACCGTGTGGAACCCAGTTTTAACTGTTACTGGGTAGTAAGTCAGGTTGAACATTAACCTAATCATTCTTGGAGAAAGTTTTTAAGAGTTCAAATTATTGTGGAGAATGAGTGAAGATTTTTTTTTTCATTCGATAGACACCAATGATGATTATACATGCTTTGAGTGTATCATTGATAATATTCTAACAGCACTTTGTCATTAATGAAAAGATCAGTGACTGCCTATATACTGTAACTAAGCATTGTGGTAAGGTTGGAGTTGAATGTTGAGGGTGTGTATCTTCATTGTTTTATTATATGACATTTGACATTAACACAGTGTACACGTGACTTGAATGCTTTTACAGTGAAACATGTAGAGGAGACAAAAGGCCAAAAATTTATTGTATGCAGTGACAGCACACAACTTGCTTTTTGTACAGGAATCTGGACTTAAGTTAATGTAGTAATTGAATGTTTTGAAACATAATACTGGCTCACAACTAGGAAAATAAGTTATCACCTATCAGCTGATTCACATCAAATTAATTTCTGGACAAGACTTTGTTATCTAGTAGATGGCTAGGCATGGTCTGTATCACATGGAACTTAAACACCCCAGAACATATGTACACAGAGGGCTACCATTATTACAAGGTGCTTACGTTAACAGTTTGAGACGCTATTAGATGGTACATGTAGTACATATACGCTGGTTTGTTTTTATATTCCAATCTGACAATGCTTTATCACAAAGTTTCTTTCTTTTCTCTATGGCTGTTGTTACTGATAATAATCCATGTTGTCAACCTTTACCTTAGTCTTCAGCAGACCTATGTGTGCTGTGATGACAGTTACGAACAAATTATCATAAAAATAAACCATCTTTGAATATTGCTTTCTGATATTAAGATTAATCTGTGTGATTGTGTTTCTTTCAAAAACCTTTAATGCTCAGCCCATTCCTTGTTTAACAGCTTTAAAGTTGGGTTTATATTTGGAAATGAGCACTTCTGTATAGATACATATATATATATATATATAAGTTAATATGATCAAGCCTTTGTAATTTTCACAGGTAATCTGAATCAGGTGAGTGTTGACTCAATGACAAACAGATGTGTGAATTGACTCAGTGTTGACTACGAGATGTGAAGATTGACTCTAAAAAATGTTGACTAGGACAGATATAAGAGTTTATTCTGACAGTGTTGACTCAGAGTTAACTCAGACCAACAGTGATATGAACATTAACTCCGACAGTGTTGACTCTGAGTTGACTTGGACAGACAGGGATATGAACATTAATTCTTACAGTGTTGACTCAGAAATGAATCAGACCAACAGCAATATAAGCATTAACTCTGACAGTGTTGACTCAGAGTTAACTCAAATCAACAGTGATATGAGGATTAACTCTGACACTGTTGACTCAGAGTTAACTCAAACTAACAGCAATATGAGAATTAACTCTGACAGTGTTGACTCAGAGTTGACTTGGACAGACGGAGATATGAACATCAACTATGACAGTGTTGACTCAGAGTTTACTTGGACAGACGGAGATATGAAAATCAACTCTGACAGTGTTGACTCATAGTTGACTTGAACAGACGGAGATATGAACATCTATGACAGTGTTGACTCAGAGTTGACTTGAACAGACGGAGATATGAAAATCAACTCTGACAGTGTTGACTCATAGTTGACTTGGACAGACAGGGATATGAACATTAACTCTGACAGTGTTGACTCGGAGTTGACTTGGACAGACAGAGATATGAACATCTACGACAGTGTTGACTCAGAGTTGACTTGGAAAGACAGAGATATGAACATTAACTCTGACAGTGTTGACTCAGAGTTGACTACAAAGACAGAGATATGAACATCAACTCTGACAGTGTTGACTCAGAGTTGACTTGGAAAGACAGAGATATGAACATTAACTCTGACAGTGTTGACTAAAGGATGGCACCAGTAATGTTAAGACTAGCTTCTCAGGGTTCTCTTGCTTTGTACCTTTATCAAGCTCTACAATAGATTGTATTTACTTACGTTGTGATTTAATATTTATAGAATCGTATTAAGTATATACAGTGTGTTTCATTGTATATGTATATACATAATGTCTAGAATTGTATATTATATAATGTATATGATTATTTGAACACTACCGTATGTATAATTTATATAATTTTAAGACTATTACATGTGTATAATGTATAGAGTCGTATGTTGTATCATATGATGTATATAATTGTGTGATATACATGTACAATACATACACTATTATATAATACATTGGATACAATATTATACAATGTGTACATAAACTATTATATAATACATTGGATACAATATTGTATAATACAATGTGTACATACACTATTATATAATACATTGGATACAATATTATACAATGCGTACATACGCTATTATATAATACAATGGATACAATATTATTCAAAGTGTACATACACTATTATATAATACAATGGATACAATATTATATAATACAATGTGTACATACACTATAATATAATACAATGGATACAATATTATACAATGTGTATAATTTTGTGATATATGTGTACAATGCATACACTATTATATAATACAATGCATATGCTATTATATAATACAATGGATACGATATTATACAATGTGTATAATTGTATGATATGCTGCAATAAATGTGCCATGTATACAGTTGTACCATTGTATAATTTTGGAAGTTGCACGTGTAATGTTACTGGTATTTTCAAGTCTGAACCATTTTCCATAAAGTCTGCTTGCTTGGTTGGTTGAAGGGTTTTGCGCCTATACATGAATACGCCCTTACGGGTTTCATCTCACTTATGGCTAAAGTCTGCACGTATCATATACCTTAACACACATAAATCAATGCTACATTCAAGTATAATTTTGCTGTGTGAAAGTTGATTCCGTCAGATCACTTTGAATTAAAATGAAGCGGCCATTTGATATCCTCATGTGTGTATGTCTAGTCCTAATCATTGAAGCTTATTTGACTGTGATCTCAAATTCATATGAAAATTTAAAAAAAATCCAAATCAGATTATTCAGGTTGGATAGAACATTTCAGTCAAGGGAGGTAGCTCCTATATAGTAACAACTAGAGTTGTTGGACTGGAAACTTTTATTTACTTTCAAGGCATCACCAATCACTGAAAATAATACGCCTGATGCTAGATACCCCAAAGTGGTTGATTTGTATATTGCCAATTAGTGGCAAAATTAACCATTACCATATATACATATAAACAGTGCTTTATTTTAAAGGAGCATTTGTCTGATCTTCATATAAGTAGCTTGTATTAAGGTTTGGGTTATATTTGTGTAAAATATCTGTGAAAACAGAAGGTTTTGTCTGCAATCTTTAACCCTTTCGTCACTATGTAATTGTAGTAGACTCTACCATGCCATTGACATGGATGAGTCCATTATGGTTTGCAGTGTTGAAAGGGTTAAATAAATGTCTGTACATGTGTTTTATCGTCATTTTGGGACACGCTCAGTCATTGAGATGTGCGGGCAGACATTTATATGTAACGAAGAATTACTTAATTGTTGTGCATGTATGCCAGTTTGGACAATGATGTAGTGCGCACATGGGTGTGCGTAGCTATCTCCAAACATGACAGGTGATGTTGAGGAATATAAATGCAATACAGCAAGTTTCTATATTAATTTAATTTTTATGTTTGATTAATTGCTTCGTTAGATGCTAATTGATGATATGTGATTCACGTAGCAGTAGGGTCTAGAAACTTGCATAAGGATGAGAATATCCACATGGGGCTTTTCCTGTTAACATGCGGCGTATACACATGTACATTTGTACTATGGTATGAGAATTTTCATTGTTTGTAACTCTATATAAGTTAGACGTGGAGTTGGATCACAAACACCACGAGAGTCTAACAAAAGCTGTATTCTTATGTTTGTTGTCAGTCGCCTATTAAATTTAGATATGGTACATAACTCATTCACCTCTGAAGAAGCATTTGAACTCTTCCAATTCAATTGTTGGAATAGTTCATTATGAAATTTCAGGGGTGAATGAGTTAAGAACTTTTCAATATATATGTTACTGTACGTTTACCCATGGCTGTAATGGGTTGAGTTTTAACCACTTGAACTTGAATTTCTTTTTGTGATTCTTGAATATGTCAGCCAATTAAAAATTGGTTCTGTGTCTGTGTCATGTTTGTTAGTCTGAGAGTGACTTTTGTTTGTTATTAAATTTGTTTTTGGGATTTTTTTGTTTACTGTAGTACGCTTGTTGTATTTGTTGAGACAGACCATGATGGCATAACTAATTTGTCTTCTCGGAATAGTAATCAAGATATCAGTGGCATTCTAGGCTATTGAGTAGTCTGGGAGACTACAGTAAATTAAACAGGAGGGGGTGGGGAGGTGGGTCTATATTTACCAAGTTTGTCCTAAACAGTCAAAAAAAAGCTATGTGAATGTCGTGAGCCTGTGGGATAATGTGCTTTGTTATGAAGTAACGTTTTCAGTTAAACATGCTGACAGTATACCATGATAATAATGCATGTCTTTCATTTATGCTGT